GGACCATCACGAGTGCCCGTGCCGGAATGGACGGGGGGGGGCGTGTGCCGCCCCTGGGGGGGGGGGGGGGGGTCAAAAGGTTCTGAGACGACAGATGGAGAGAACCTTTATAAGACTGACAAATGTATTTGTCCCCAGTCTGCTCTCTTCTTCTTCTATGATATAATTGGTCACAGTTGTTGGAGACACAGAGACCAGTCTGAACTGGTTCTAGTCACCGACACCTGCAGGCATGATAACCATCAGTCTGAGGACTTTCTGACTGACCCTGTTGATGACTGATAACGTTTAGCTCTTAGATTCCCTGTTAGAAAGAAATATGAGCAGGGTTTTATTTCATACATTTACTGTGACCTCTTGACCCCTGAACTGATCTACACCATGTTTTCCTTCCAGAGAACGGAGAAAGGTAAAGAGTACGAACTCTTTGTCCTGAAGATCCAGAAGCTGGAGAAGCTTTGTCGAGTCCTGCAGGACGAGAGGACGGTCCTGTACGAGAAGATCAAGGAAGTTCGCCACAGTAACTCAGAGCTGCCCTCGAACATCCTCTCCAGCTGTGAGTCCGCAGACAACACCTCAGAGAAGCCCAACCTCCTGGGTTCTGCCGAGATCCAGGAGCTGCAGGAGCTGCAGGAGAAGGACCCGGTCCTGACCCGGGACATGGCTCGTCTGAAGGAGGAGCAGGCCAAGCTGCAGGAGTTTGCCACCGCCCTTTTGGCTGCACCGGTGGGCGACAATGACCAAGATGAGGACGAGCGCGTAGACGTGGAGGAGGACGTGGAGGAGGACGTGATGGCGTCGGCGTTCATCAACTTCAAAACCAAGGTTCAGGTCAAAGAAGATGCAGCTCCTGTCAGCTCCTCCCTGGTGGAACTAAAGGTTCCAGGAAACTCCCAGGAGGCCCCTGAGTCTGATCCAGGACCAGTCCACACTCCGACACAAGGACTGGTCCAAGACCACAAGGAAGACCTGGAGCAACCAGCACCACCTAGAACCCTGGAGAACCATGATGAGGACAAACCCATGGTCCAGGCAGATGGTGTGAAGCTGCCACAGCTGCAGAAGGAAGAAGAAGCAGCCATGACATCAGAGTCCACTGGACCTCCGTCTGAAGGCACCGGGGAAACAGTTCTGGACTCAAACCCAACTCTACATGACTCCAAGAAACAACAACCAAAGAAGAAGAAGAAGAGGGTCAACAAGAACCTCAGCTAGAGACCGGTCCCTGTGTGTGTGTGTGTGTGTGTGTGTGACAGGAACCATGTGCTGTTACACCAGGAAGTGTCAGGAACTGGGAACCTGTTGATGTTTCCTAAAGGGGGCGCTCCCTGTGACACCAGAGGCTGTAACCTGATTTCACACCCAGGAACACAGCGATGACAGGACCTTAAAAAAACAAAAAAAACAAAACAGGTTTTAACATAAAAACTTTAGCAAAGTAAATAAATAATAAAGTCTTCTTTAAATCCAACATTGTGCCGATTTATTTTACAGCACGTGTTACCATCCTGTCACCAACGACTGGCTCATCTTGGCTAACTTTTATCTCCTTCAGCCATCATCATAATCTTTAGCCTTGTTGGCTAATTTTAGCTTTCTAAAAAGAGCTAAAGGTCAGCATAGTGCTAAACTCTAGCACAAATTTAGTAACCTAACACAAGTTCTACCAATACTGGTTTAGTTGGTTCCATTTGTAGTCCAACATCAGACTGGAACTCTCTAAAAGACTTCTCTCTGATTCAGTCTGTTTAGGTTTTTTTAACCTCTCCACAAACATTTTCACTACATATATATATCAGGCTGTAGTCTAGGCCTTGGCCACTAGATGGAAGCAGAGACTCAGATGAAATCAGCTTTTATTATTTTTGGCAGATTTCACACATGTATCGCCCCATTTACCCAGGACATTTTATATATTATATATACATGTAAACATAGGTACATATACATGCATATATAAACCTGTGTGTGCACATATACATGTGTGTGTGTGATGTTTTTGTTCTTGTTGCGGTGAAAGTTCTGACCTGACCGTGGAACCTGAAGACTGTGGTCTGCTGTGGTCTGAAGGTCTGTCGTCAGACCTCAGGGTCTCACTTTGTAGAGGGACTTTATACATCATCTTCATCATCATCATCATCATCATCAGCTGCTCAGTCACTGAAACCTCCTGCAGGAGTGAGAAGGAGCAGCACCACAATCAACAGTTGGTTTGTGTCCAGTCTGATGATCAGAAACACTTTCACCCTGAAGATCTTCATGAACTTCCACTGACGGTAACAGGCCTCATCCAGCAGAGGGAGCTGATGAGGAGGATAATGATGCTGCCACTGTACGATACTCTACTGTATCCAACAGTTTGACACAAAAACTGCAGAGGCAACACTGGGAAAAACAGATACGAGTTTGTGTGCCTGTGTGTGTGTGTGTGTGAATAAAGTTAACAGGGAAACGTCTTTATTAATTTTGTAAAAGACAAACAAATCAGTGATGGAACAAACAGAACCCCCCCCCTTACCCCGTTCTCTGGAGACGATAAAGATAATGATTGTCTGTGGCCAGATGATCAAACATCACAAACACACACACACACACACACACACACACACTTAATGACCCATATCACAAACAATAATCTCACGCTGTCCTCAGGCCTGAGAGACACAGAGAGAGAGAGAGTGACAGGGGAGAGAAAGGGCGAGAGAGAGGGCGAGGCAAACGTCAGAATATATCATTATAATATTTATACATCTTTATATATATTATACATCATTACCGTTTTCTGCAGATCTCTTATGTTTAAAATTTAAATTACAACTGTTTAGATTGAATTAGCAAGAGGTAAAAGGCTGCAATGATGTTCAACGATGAGCAACAGAAGGTTGAAAATGTTTGCCGTTGTTCACCTGCGGTTTCTAAGTGTGTACGTGCTCTGATTAAGACCGCATTAGCTCTCGACACTGAGCCTTGATCTTCATTTGCCTTCAGATAAAAAAAAATCCCTTTTTCAAGGGCAGAAAGTTCGTGAAAAGTTAAAACTTTTTTTTCTCTTTCAACTTTTTCCTGCCCCTCACCGCCCCCCCTTCTAAATACACCGGGCGTTAAGAATAGCATTAGCGGCAGGCGTTAGCTGCCATCTTAGCGCTACCTGGTGTTAGCAGCAGTTGTAGCACTGTTCAGCATTAAAGCCGCTTTAGCTCTATTTGACGTTAGCAGCTAACGTTAGCTACTATGGCGGCGGCATCGGCTAAAATTAACTGCTAATATTAGCGCCCCTCTATAGCGTTGTTTTGTGGTATTTCCTATTATTTGCAGGAAATAGTTGGCGTAAAATTAGTCCATTCACTTTCTGGCTAATTCCAAAGAAAAGTCTGCGCTGTCTTTGTGGGAGACAAACGTTTTACCTTTAAACTCTGCGCCGCTCCTGTTCGGACAGCGACTTTAGCCCTGTGGTTACCCGCCGGTACCGCGAAATAGCCAGCCCCGCCCCTCCGTCGCCGTCCAACCCCCGTGATAACGCAAGAAGTTTTATTATTAGCATGTTGCTATGTTTAACACAATTAGCTACTGTAGAGGTGCTTTAAAATAAAATAAAAAAGTATATATATTAATGGAGGGGGGTGAATAAAGTTAGGTAACATTCTCATTATTACAATACTCGATGTAGTTAGCACTCTTAGCTCTTCGAGCTATATTAATATATTTAGCACACCAAAACTTCTGTCAAGTTAAAATGTTAAACTAAAGACAAATGTTGAATTGACCTTTTGATGTCAGGTGAAAAAAATGTTTAATTTCATATCACATTTCAAAAACATTCCCACAAATAACATTACCTGGAGAGACAGGGAGGTTCAAAGTAAAGACAAAGAAAAAGTCTGTTCTACGTCTTCCATTTCTACAGCGTCACATCACAGACATCACAGACATCACAGACATCACAGACATCACAGCGTCCCTCCATTATCACTTCAACCACAGAATAAACCACAGGTCATGCTTTCACACTAAATATCTGCTTCTTCCTGAGAACCATCGCTCAGGCGGCTGCAGCTTCAGGCTACGTCACGTCACCTCTTCTCTACCGTTAAATGAAGTTTGTGGACGTGTGAAAAAAAAAATCAATGCTGGTCAATAAACGAGGCGACAGAGGGTTTTCTCCAGACCAGAAACATCTCCGTACGTTGGAGTCAGCGGCTGGTGTTTGGACTGAGAACTGATGGAACCACAGTGGAAACTCACAGCCCCCTGCTGGTGTAGCTGGGAGAACTGCAATAATCAAGATGGTGATGTTTTGTTTGAAGTCATCACTGACTGTGCGGTGAGCGCCCCCCACTGTATGTATGTATGTTTGTAAACCACTCACTCGACTGTACCATCAAAAGTACATAAAAAAATCAGTGATTTTAACTCACAGAGACGGATGATCTGTTGGTCCACTGCTGCCTCCTGTGGTCAGTGTGTGTCACTCAGTTGGAGCTAAAATGAACACATTTGAACCTAACCATGAGGCGAGACTCACACAGCTAAAATTGATGATTTTCTCTATGGAATTTTGAATGGCAGAGTGTGTGGGTCATTAAAAACTCGTGTTTGGATGTGTTGATGTCCCAGATGTTCGTCCTGGGATGAGAACCCTGCAGCTTTAGAGCAAACACACAAACATATGACGATAAGATAAAAACACAGACCATATTAGTAAAATGTTAGTTTTCAAACAAGCCAATCAGAATGAAGGATCCAGCCAATGTTGCCGCTGCTGCTGCCACGATTGGACGACAGAACTTTTTCGATTTGCACACAATGCACTTTGAGTTTGTTTTGCTGTCTTTAACTGTCAGGACACAACGATCATGCGACATGGTGGTGGGTGGGTCACCCTGCTGTCCCACCAGGCACAGGAGACAGGAAGGGAGTTTCCTGCTGGTCATTTTCAGTCCAATCCACTTCCTGTCCACCAGCTCCAGACCCGTCGGAGGTCCCTGGAGTCTCTGGTCCATCGGTGCCGTTCACTCACGGACTCTGCTGCTCCATGTTTTCAACCAGAGGCTCCTTCTTCAGGAACTGCAGGTGTCTGATGGAGCTCCAGACTCCAAGGCAGGTGTCTTTGACTGACCGACCATGGGGGGCGCTGTTTCCTTCTTGGAGGTGCTCCCTCTGCATCTCCTCCACCTCATTTTCTGTCATCACGAGTGATGTCACACCTGTTTCTACGTCTCCTGTCCGCATCTCCCCATTCACCGCCTCCCTCTCCTGGTCGCAGCTCGCTGTTTGTCCCAGGTCAGATTCGGTGCCACCGCCACTGTCCACCGGCCGCTCGCCATTCAGAGGGGGCTTCTCCTGGTACGGCTCTCCAGGTGGTGGCGCTCCATCTTTCCCTGCCTCTTCCAGATCTTCATATAGGCTCTTCTTCTTGATCTCGTAGTATTTGACCACACAGTAGGTGATGGAGCCCACGGTGTTGACCACCACGCCGCTGATGAACAGGCCAGTGGGCGCCACGTCGTTAAACGCAAACATGCCCACGGAGATGGTAGCAATGCTCTTGACCACACCTACAAAGCTGGTGGTGACGGCAGAGTTCAGGTAGGTGCAGTGGAGCGTGGTGAAGTTCATGGCACAACCGATGAAGACGCAGGAGAGGAAGGTGGCGGTGATGCGCGGGTCCTTCCAGCCTTCGTACGACCACATGTTGATGGAATCCATGGAGATGAAGGAGCAGACGAACAACACCTGAGGCAGGAAGAGAAGAAATCTGTAAAAACACCAGGCACTGGGAGTGCCCCCTGCTGCGAGAACCAGCAAAGGACAGGAATTTTAATGAAAGAGATTTTAGCTAACCTAACCAAAGTCCATGGAGAAAATCAGAGATTTTAGTTCAGACCAAAGTCCATGGAGAAAATCAGAGATTTTAGTTCAGACCAAAGTCCATGGAGAAAATCAGAGATTTTAGTTCAGACCAAAGTCCATGGAGAAAATCAGAGATTTTAGTTCAGACCAAAGTCCATGGAGAAAATCAGAGATTTTAGTTCAGACCAAAGTCCATGGAGAAAATCAGAGATTTTAGTTCAGACCAAAGTCCATGGAGAAAATCAGAGATTTTAGTTCAGACCAAAGTGTTAGAGAGTCACAGGAGCCACTTGTCCTATGCTGTCTCTTGTGGTCAGTTTTTGTCACTGACGTAAATCTGAACAAAGGAAATTAAACAGTGAAGCTTCAGAGGAACTCATTAGAAGTCGGTGATGGAGCAGCAGTGGATCAACAACTATCTCTGAGAGAGAAAATCACTTGTTTTCTTCCATGGATTTTGGTCCAAGGACCGTGGGAACTTTACAAAATCTTGGTTCTAAAAGATTCGATTCAAACTGTCTTACCGGTGTAGCTGTGATGGCAATTGCGTACTGGGCAGTAAGTGGTCCGTACTCGCTGACCAAACTGGCTCTCTGGATCAGGACCAGGTACGAGGCGTGTATGATTACTGCCAGTACACCAGTGACATAACCAAAGGGATCGCCTGTGAGGTCACCAGCACCTGAGGAAAACAAGAATCAAGGTTTCAGCAGTGGAACCCTGCTCCAGAACAGAACTGCTCCCTCTGCTGAAGGACCATGAGATTCAGAGAGCTGTGGGAGTGGGGTCAACAGTCAATCAATTCAACAGAAAACTCTGTAAGAACAGAGCCAAACACTGACTGGTGGTCGAGAGAGAGCAAGACGGCGCCTCCTGCAGGCAGCACTTTTTAACAGCAGTGCAAATCTGTTGCCATAATTCTAGCATTATCAACAGGTGGTGAAGCTGTAATTGAAACACAGTTGTTTTTGGAGAATTGTACCGTGAGGAACACCACAATGAGTGTGAAGAGAAGATGAAGTAATTAAACCCCAACCCCTGTTTTTATGGATACTGTACAGCAATAAAATGATGACGAAACGTGTGTTTACTCCTCATTGGTTTCATCATTTTCTTATCTCAACCCTTTTCCACTGGTAAAACTGATCGACTGTTCAAGTCATATCTCAGATTTTAAAAAAATGTTCTGTTTCCAGCAGTAAATGTCTTTTTTTCTATTACAGTTAATGATCCTTGAGTCATAAAGAAAGAAAACAACATTATTAATTCCCTGAATCAAACTCTGTTCTCTGCCTTTGTTTGTCGGCGTCGACACATTAGGTGTGGAATGTACAGAAAATGAAGCCAAGAGAAGAATATGTCAAACAGATCTTCTTATTACATCTTATTGTCCTCAATACACAACTATCATCATTTTATAAACCTTTTAATCAGCCTGCAGGGGGCAGCAGAGGCAAGGTGACGTTAACATCCTGTATTGTTTTTTAGGAATTTAAATTAAAAAAAAAACCTAAAAAAACGTATCTAAACTTGCTGTTTAAAGACTAACTTAGATTAAGGCAGTAACGTTGAAGGATCATCGGAATATGCTAATGTTTTTGACTGTAAGACTGACTTTTCCTACAAGAAAATCATGATTTTAGTTCAGACCAAACTTCAAACTGTAGACTTGGATGATTACGTCATCAGTGATGTGTTTTTGTAACTCTGCTGTATTTTCTATTGTATTTTTGTTTTTACCAGCGAGTGCAGCTCCCCCAGTGGTGATGAGCACGGCTATCACGACACCCACAGACGGCAGGCCGTTCCTTAGCACACACACACCGATGCTGAGCGTGAAGAGCGGCAGGCAGCGCTTGAAAACCACGTACATGGGCAGACTGAGTCCACGAAGGGACCAGAGGGTCAGGGTAGACTGGAGGGTGGAGAGGACACACACTGATGCAAACTCCTGTCAAACAGAGGGGGGCAGCAGAGAGAGAGAGAGAGAGAGAGTGAGAGAGAGAGAGTTACAGAACTATATCAGGTCAGAAATACTTCATTGATATGAAAGTACTAAAGTATTTGTACATGTGTACATTTAATAGTAACAGTTAAAATAAGAGAGAGAGAGTAAAAACAACTGAAGAAAAGAGGAAGAAGAAGAAGAGGAAGAAGAGGAGGAGGAAGAAGAGGTTTTCAACCACTTTCACCAACTTTAAATCCATCAGTTTTAAACCATGTATTTTAGGACTATGTGTGTGTGTGTGTGTGTGTGTGTGTGTGTCCCACCTTGCAGAGTTTCAGGCTGTACGGGGGGACGTCCACCCTCCCCAGCCTCCTGAGGGTCTCCAGGACCAGGGCGGCCAAGCTGCTGGTCAGGAACTGGATCAGCGTCAGGTAGGAGAAGTGAAAGTTACTGATGAGGAACTTGATCAGGATGTTGAGGGAACCTGAGAAGACGCCGTGGGCCACGGCCACGGAGATGGCTAACAGGCGGTTCCTGCACACCTCCATCGTGACGGAGACGATGAGGAGTGGAGGAGAAAAGTGGTGGAGTCAACCAGGGTTTAGTTTGTTACTACACACCAAAGAAGAAGAGGAAATCTGGACGGACTTCTGCCGACGGCGATTTTACCTTCAAGAAAAATGTTTTTCAGTAAAAAAAAAAAAGAGAAATTTAAATAAAAGATTAAATGTTTGGTGAGAGCAGGAAAGTAACTTCAGCTCTCACTTCTGTCCCCCGAAGACAAGGGGTTAAATATCCTGCTGGAGGTGAGAGAGTGGGGGGGTAAAAGAAGAGGAGCCGGAGGAGCAGGAGGTCCTGCAGGAGCTGGAGCTGCAGCGCAGAAGAGGAGAAGAGAGTGGAGGAGTGAAATATGACAGTCTGCCGCAG